AGAGACAGGGATCTGTCTGGGGGCTGCTGGGTAATATTCAGGGAGACAGGGATCTGTCTGGGGGCTGCTGGGTAATATTCAGGGAGACAGGGATCTGTCTGGGGGCTGCTGGGTAATATTCAGAGAGACAGGGATCTGTCTGGGTGCTGCTGGGTAATATTCAGAGAGACAGGGATCTGTCTGGGTGCTGCTGGGTAATATTCAAGAAGTGTCATGTCTGTAGCTTAAGCAGATCCTGCTGGGTTGAGCTGTGATTTGAAAGAATCGCAAATGAATACGGTGAAACAGCTACCATTTCCCCGCACCAATAGCTGCTTAAGTACCGCACAAACAGTTTGGAAACGCATGAGAAAAATTACACCTGGAAGGGGCTGAGTCATTAACCAGAAGGCTACAATGGTCAATGTAAAAGCAGACCGGGCAGCCAGTGGACAGAGCCTGGGGGAGATTAGTCCTGAACCCGGCAAGGTTTCACCCGACCCCAAACGCTTCTGTTCCCCCAGCAGGGCCAGGTGTATGTAGGCTCTCTATTTAGCAAATAACTGCCTGAACTATTTTATATAAAAGCTTTTCTCTATACGCGCTGCAGTGAAATATTATTTTTCTAACAAGGCAACATGGCTACAATTGTTAGTCACACTTTACACCCAAAAGGTCGAGAATGTTTTCTTTAAATAAAAAAAATATATTATATTTTTATACTTAAAATATTAAACAGCATAAAAGTAAGATGTTTATGAGTGAAAGCTGGGATAAAAAATTTGAGAAGCTGAACTTGACATTCTTATAAAACATAATAGGATGTGTCCTTCTGGATTTTATCAGCCATGAACGCTGACATTAAAATTAAAAAATAAACAAAACCCAGAACAAGTGCAAACAACCAAGTCTTATCCTTACACACATGAACGTCTCTATAATAGACTCCCCTTTAATGTCAATAAGAAACATTTTCCACCGAAACACATGAATGAAATCCAATTTACAATGAATCTCTGCATTTCCGTTATGAGACCAGAAAATTAGGACGTTCGATGGACAATTCCACCTCCAAAAGCCAAATAGAAACCCTTTAGAAACAAAACGCACGTTTCATATTATTGTTCCCGCATGAAGGCCGGGAGCCGGTTTCCATACGCGGGACAGTGACAGGAGGTCAGTAAGGACGCCGTTCTTGCTGCTGCTCTTTTTAATCGCGTGTTTCGAGTAGCGCAGCGTGCAGCCTGGACAACAGCAGCGGTGACAAAGGGATCCAGAGACGAGGCTCGACAGAAACAGCACCTAATGCACAACAATATGAACGCATCCCCCACTTTTTACAACAATCGCCGAAGGACTTGAAACTGACAAAGCTGTCAGCGTTGCTCCTTAACACGGTAGCCTGGATGTAAATTGCTGGGCAAATAGTAATTACAGAAAATGTACCTGAGCTTTTAACTGTTGTATTAAGCCGTTTTGTTAATTTATTTAGACAAATGTCGTCCTTTACCTCATGCAAGGACCTAGTGTTTGTATAAGTATAGATGATCTCAGACCCCCCTTCAACTGCTATGCTGTCAGCATAAACAGCAGTTGCATACTCCTTTGTATACAGTTAAACAAAAAACAACTACATATTTTTCGGATGGGAGTTGTAGCCTATTTGTGTATAAAACCAATAATGACAATAAAGAGCAGAATCCACGACGATGGCACTAATCATCCGGCTATACTACACAACTCCAAAGGGAGTTATCTGTCAGATCCTGTCCACGCCGCCTGAGATCCAGACACATGTTAAGCAAAGTTTCCGGCACGTAAACAAGTATCCGCTGATGAAACCCCGCCAGGGCTCAAAACTACATTGTTGCAACACGATTCGTATATTTAAAACACAAATAAGCGCCGTAAACAAATTAAGCGCTCCCTCTAAGTGGAAGATAATGGCGGAAATATAGAAAAACACATAATATGCATTTTGTACTTCTGTATTTTATCCCCAGTAGACTGTATTTTTATATATAAATTGAGGAGCTAGCTAAATATACCAAGCATGTTCAGGAAGTAAACTTCAGTCGTGCACACGTTTGATTTGCTCTTCCCGCATGAATAACACTGCGCAGCGCCTGCAATTAAAGTTCATTATGATAAAAACGTGGCTGGCGATCGCAGCTCCCGTCTCTCCCCAGTGCTCCTTCCCCCGGTTTCCTTCGCAAATAAACTCCCTGGCGCTCGCAGCATTTCCCAGCAGCACGGGCCCAGCATCGGGCTCCCGTAAGGCTGCCGTCCGTTTACCGTCTAATTCTCTTCGATTGCATATTAAAGTTGGTAAGAGCGGAAAAAACACGGGGCGACATCGACACCGGGGATGCGACACATTTTTTCTTTTATTGGGGAGTAAAAAAAAAAAAGTTTTGAGCACGTCTCTTACCTTCAACGATCTCCTCTATATTTTCGTCATCGCTGTCCATGATTAAATCGGGCCCGACGGAGAGGTGCGGGAGAATAAGGAGGATGCGGGATCCTTGGTATCGTAGCAGATCTCGCAAGGCTGATCACACTAACAGATCGCCGTGATGTGTCTCCCCTAGCATTAAGACGCTGACATCACCCCCTTTTCCAGCTACATCATGACTGACAGTTACACAAGGCAACAACTGCACGGCCTACTAGGCACCGCTTTAAAGGAAAACGCTGCATCTACGTTTCAAGAGACCCAGCTGAGGAGTCGTGGCTATGCAAAAACACAGTAATATGGTTAATTATATAATATCAGCTAGTAGGCATACATCCCGTCCATGCGTCGCACACGTGACTCACTTTCGCCCAATGGGCTTAACGAACCCAAAAACTGCCTCTTACTTAAAGATCTGCATTCACAGATAAACCACAATCGCGCATCCATCAGAAAATTCCCTTTAAAATAAAAGACAAATGTAAGGGCAACACATGTTGAACAATTCTCAACACACACACGCCGACATTACCCTGAAGCATTTTCAAATGTATGCTTATTTAGTGGCCTGGGCATATAGTATTTGCAACAAAACGTGCTTGACCCGCAAATGACAGATTGCACGTATTCATCAAAGGGGCGGTACGACGAGGTACATAAAGATTAAGGTTCATTTTCCAGTTCTGTCCTCCATTTGAACATTAAAAGCTGCAGATTCCCAGAATATTAACATCTGAAAATCTGTTCAAACTACACAGCAACAAGTTTACGATTACAATCATTTATACACACCCAGAAATTATTTATGACAAATAAATATCACAGTAGGTCACTGAGTAACACCGCAACCCCACACCCCCAGGCTGACGCTGACCCTGCGCTGAATCAGCGGTTCAATTTACTACAAGCGGAATAAAACAGTGGAACAACTATAGCCACTGCGGCTGCGATAAGAAGGCCGCCAGTTCCAATCTTAGGCTCGACGAAGTGATGTCACTTCTGGGCCCTTGATGCGGATTGGTTCAGGGACCGTCAGGTGCTGCTTATCCCACAAAATGTACATTACTTTGCACAAAAAAGCCTGATAAATAAATTAAACATGATTATAATGGTTATATAGCCTTATAATGGTTCAAACCAGACACAGATCCATCTGTAAGATGTAGGGTGGGTCACAGGTTTCTGGACTGGAGATGGGGGTGGTATTCCTCCGCAAGATTTCAAATTCGATTTGCTTTCTTCCTATTCACAACAATCGAACTAAAATCTGTGATTGGTCGGTGTTTACTCACCCTTCGGGCGGGCCAAGCCTGTGATTGGATAGCCCAGCCTCCCATGCCCCTGTGAAGTGAGGCCGTGTTTATGCATTCCCTTTAATGCTCAAAGTGGTATGACCCGTGACATCCCCCAGCAGCGACGCTGAGAAAATGAGTCTATGACGTCACTGTTTTTGAAACTTACAGGTTACCAGCCAACATAAAGCTTACCAGCCACCTATGCTCACAAAGCCTATGCCATTATTTCCATTGCTGACAATCTGCAGATAGGAGTGTTTGACGGTCCTGTGCTTCTCAAATCTTTTAGTACTGCCCAGTCATTAAGAATAAAAAAACAGGCACCAAAAAAATCAGGAAAATCTAAGTCTTACCCGCAATCATGGTCCATAAAATATAATCTGCTAAATAAGTTAGTAAATTAATATATGAATTAAATAACAATGTAATATTACATCATGGTTATTATATGTTGTGTATTTGTTATTAGAAGGTTGTATGTACGTCAATTGTTATGCATGTATATATGTGTCAAGGATTATTGGAAATATTTAAAATAGTAACAGCCAACTTGTTATGACACATAATTACTGTACCTACAAATATAAGGGTTTTACAAGTAAAAAAAAAAGAGCTCTACAAATCAGAGATTTTAATACGTCTGCTTTATATACCATGTGCAAGCCTGCGATTAAAAATAAAGAGAATATCGATATTACAGTGACCTGTGTCTGCATTGTGTATTTCAAGCATATAAATGAACAGAAATACATCTACTGGAAACGTGATGAGGTCATTATTCTCCCTTACAGAAAATTCCAGTAATAGGCCTCATGACCTAATCGGTCAATCGCCGTGATTTACAGAAAGGGATTGTCCTGTCGCGGAATGCCGTTAGAGAAAAAAATGGCCGCGCTGATATTAAAGCTGAGATCATCCCTACGGTTCAGCGGAATACATCACAAGAAGCAGCGCAGAAATACTGCAACATCTCCTTTCATTAAGTGAAAGACAAAACCTTCAATGGAACATTGTTCGGGACAAATATGACTAACCCTATAGCACTAATACCCTAATCGAGTGTGAGGATATTAGTATATTTAACTCTGTGCTAGTTAAATTACACATATACTACTGCACGTAATCGGCAAATGGAGTTGTTAATAAAACAAAAAAAGGGGAAAAAAAGAAAAATCGAATCTAAAGTTTTTAGATAAATTAGTTTAGTATGAGCCTGCTGCAATGCCCTTCAGGTGTGTATTTGAGGTCCATCCATCCATCTTTCAATCCTCTGTCTTGGAAAGGGTGGGAATTGGGTCTGGAGCCTATCCCAGTCAGCACAAGGCGGAGGTGTGGTCATCGCAGTGCTCGTTCACGTAAGACTTCCGCAAACTACGGGGAATTCAGAGACATCTGTCAGCCACACTGCGTGTCTTTGGATTGCAGGAGGAAAGTGCAGCACCCAGAGGAAACCTGCAGAGCGCAGAGTGAGCACAGAAGCTCCACATATACAGAGAAGAGGCGGGATTCAAACCTAGAACCCTGAAGTTCAGAGAGAGCACACAAGCTCCACATATACAGAGAAGAGGCGGGATTCAAACCTAGAACCCTGAAGTTCAGAGAGAGCACACAAGCTCCACATATACAGAGTAGAGGCGGGATTCAAACTTACAACCCTGAAGTTCAGAGAGAGCACACAAGCTCCACATATACAGAATAGAGGCAGGATTCAAACTTACAACCATGAAGGGGTGAGGCCACCTTGCCGGCCCACTTAACTTAAACTGTTCCAGTAAAACAGGGTTTCCAGATTCCGGTCCTGCAGGGCCAGACTCCAGCACAGTCTGCAGATTTCCCTGTTCAAACATCTTAATCAGCTAATTACCAGGTTTAATAGGTGTGTCTGAGCAGGAAATTCCCAGTCTGTGTTGGATTCTGGCCCTCCAAGGACTGGAATTGGAGGACCTTGCGGTGAAATATTCAGCTATACAAACTAAATAAAATAGAAATGTAAATACCTTTAGATAAAAAGCATAAACAAAGCAGCTAAACATTAAATATCTATGGGGCTGGGATCCCCTGCTCTCCAGAACATTATCTAGAACATTATCTACCCCATCTCCTACGAATCCTCCCTCTTCCCCTGCACATGCCCCTCCGTACTTCATGTATGAGGGTAAAGGTTCACGGTGCTTTATTGCCGTCAGCAGCTGTATACACATAAAGCCGCTGTCATGCCTTTTTCGTATGAGTTGCAGTAACTGAGGACGACTGGAACAGCAACCCTAGTCAGACACTAACTGGAAACGGAAGAATGGGCAGATCTGCTCAATCACTTCCATTGTGTTATGGCAGGACGCTATCCTGTCATGCCAACACTAGCCTCTCATTATATACGAAACACCCACCGCAAAGCTAGATTGCATGTTAATGGTAAAACAGATACAGACTCCTTCACCAACACTCATTGATACAACAATCATATTAGTATCCAACTCCAGCTTTACTGTGCTTTATATTGTCATGCTTCGTCTGCATGATTTAAAGGACAAAATTCTGCATGATGTCTAGTTACTTTCATTCAGTACTATTAATATCATATTGCTATTTATTTAAATGTATATACTATTTTTGTATCATGTGTGAATAAAATACTGCTTATATTATTTCCACTTCCAGATTTATTTAGGAGCTGAACATTTCTACGCAAACGTAGAGAAAAATACATTTATCTGTCTAGTATTAAAATAACTACAAATGTAACTGCAAGAAGACTTGTTGTATACCTCCAATATCCACTAGAGGGCGCCAAGTCAGCGCTTAAAGATGGGACTGTAGAAAGGGTTTAACGAGGCAGATGGGATTCTTGGAATATCATGGCTATTTCACTCAGTGAAACAAAAAAAAGCGGTTGGAAGATGACGGATTGGTACTTATTTCATCCGCAATCTTTAAAGGTTTCTCTTATCAGTCCTAAGGCGCTGCTATGCGATGTAAATTTTGTTTCTGTTAAGGCTCGGCAACAATTACATCAAACAGAAGTTTATATATTAATCAAGAGTTACTAACATTTCTATGAAAAATTCCAATAATCCTCTGCCTTTACTCTGGTGACGGATATGAACGCCACGTCAGGACACGTAAACCTCAAAAGGGGGCGTATCTACGACATTGAAGTAATACGTGGAAGAAAGAGGTCAATAAATGACAATCAATCAGCAAACAAATGTACAAACATGGCTGCAGATCAGCTACTTCTGTCCGCTGTGTCTCTGATATCAGCGCTGCAGATGGGTAAGAATAACATTTTAGGACCCTGCGTTGGGGTTCCGGCTACAGGGCAGCCGACATTCACAAGAAACGGACAGTTTCTTTCCCACAACCTTTACACTGGTTGACATTTCGCATAGTAAATAGCGCAATGGATGCTGCTTGAGGTATAAACTAAACTTAACTGCTGACGAATGATCTAGACCTAAAATACTATCCTTCATGGGATCGCCGGGGTCAATCGATAGCCTGAAGTGAAGTGCGGAGCCCTTTATGTAACTCCGGGAGTTATACATGTAACAACGCGTAATAAGGGGTTATACATGTAACAACGTGTAATAAGGGGGTTATACATGTAACAACGCGTAGTAAGGGGGTTATACATGTAACAACGCATAGTAAGGAAGTTATGTATGTATCCGCGTGTGATTAGCGAAGCCCACAAATATCCCATTTGCTAAATGTCCAGGAACCTTTTAGGACGATTGCCCCAAGAGGGACCGGCCAGGGGCAGGGGTAATGTAACATTGTTCCTCTTGGGACAACCATGAGGGGGCAGATAATGAGTAAGCTATGCCCAAAATAATTCTTATTTTGTTAGGTATCTATACACTCTATATATATAAACACAGAATCAACAGGATTCAAGCCGCTATGTGTATTTTGTTTATATAACACAGAAGTTAACTAGTACTTGAACTAACTCTGGAGGAAAAAAAAAAAGTAAAAAAAAAATAGTCTCTGTTTGCCTTTACTGGTACCATCGACGCTGAATGGTCAATCTGACAGTGAATCACCAAGTAATTATACGTTTCTTTGAAAATACTAATCAATCCGCCACAAAGGCAAATCGGCTCAGTTCTCACTGGCCTCTCCGGTTATATTGAGAATGCTAAATAAACAGCACAGATACAAAATAATTATTGGTGTTACTCTATAAGCCCTTTAAACCTCAGATTCCGGGAATCGGGAAGAGTGCCATAATTCTGCTGTGTCTGTCTGCTGTAGAGATCCTCAGAACGATGGGCTGAATTAGTGAGGAGGGGAAGCTCTCTAAATTGGGACTTACCTTGTTTTTCCTGGAGTCTTAAGGTCGATTGAGTTACTCCATGCTCACATACAGTATATGTTCTTGTTCAGGGCACCACTGGTAGCCGTTAGCGTTTATCTCCTAATGAGCTATCAAGGGCTTTGCAACTAACTATTAGATCAGTTTTATTTTTAAGTACAGTATCTGTCATGTTTTGGCTATTGAGTATCCAGTATCCATTACTATTCTGTGGTAGCTTCTGGGGTATTTGATATCTGTGTAACTGAGTAACCAGTACTATAACGCATACAACAATACCTGTGTACCTTCCATTTTCAGAAACCACTTGTCCCATTCAGGGTTGCAGGGGGATCCAGAGCCTATGGGCACAAAGTAGGGAACAACCCAGGATGGGGCACCAACCCATCACAGGGCACAAGGCAGGGAACAACCCAGGATGGGGCGCCAACCCATCACAGGACACACTCACACACCAATCACACGTGGAGGGAACCTGTATGACACAGGGGGAACATACAAACTAATACACCCAGAGTGGTGGCGGGATTCGAACCCCCAACTCTGGGGTTATGAAACTACCATACCACACATGACAAGATGTAGCTGCGTTACATACCTCGAAAATACCCATAAAATAAAAAATAAGTTTCTGTGACCTCACCTTCCATCTTTTTTCAGGTTACATCACTCGCTGTGTCACGCTTTCGAGGCGCAAGCACAACGTTATACCTCCTGCAGTCACAGGACCTGCGGAGTTTGAGAGAATCTTCCGGGCTCAGTAAGTCGCACGCAGACTGCATGTGGTAAGGTTAGCTTTTAATGTGAGTTTCCAGCTGGGATTTTGCTGTAGTGTGTCCCATCAGAACTGGGCAGGGAAAACCTGTGCACAGGAAACAAAGACATCCATTAAAGTGAAACACAGACCACATTTTTAGGAAATACATAGATTATTTTTAACTTTTTATTTTGTATTGCAGTGGTGGAAATGTGTTATCATTTAAATCCATCCACCTACCTACTGATATTTTTTATCATCTTTGTTTAAATCCTTTAGTTAAAAATTCAGTTCTGTCTAACAGTTTAATAAAAATGAGACCAGAATGGAACAGCTCAGTTCATGGTTGGGGGTTCGAATCATGGCTGGATGGTGTGCCCATGTTCTCCTCGTTCTGTGTGGGTTTCCCCCTGTAGTCCAGAACGTGGTTAAGTCAGCTAGTGTTAATGTGTGAATGAGTATGTGCCCTGTGATGGAGTAGCATCCCGTCCAGGGTGTACCCCAGCCCCGTGCCCTGTGATGGACTGGCATCTCGTCCAGGGTGTACCCCAGCCAGTGTGCGAAATATCCGTCAATATTCGGGCGGGTCCCCATCTCCCTATTGTCATGCAATAATGATCTTGAGACCCCCTTAAAATTTTGCTTTTGAGGCTTTCAGGGGGTCTCATGGGTTAATCGGGGGTGTCGGACCCCCTGTACCTCACACACTGACTGGCATCCCATCCAGCGACTGTCTGATCTGGCTTTCTCAGTAATACATCATTTTGGATAAATGTGTCTTAAATAAGTAAAATGTAAATCTCATGCTGCCTATACACTCATTGCATGTTTTGTTTGGTCATTTTAAACATGTAAATTGTCAGTTGGGTTTGTAACATCTTCTTAATCAGTTTCTGAAATCCTCACAATGGGTACAGGCTCCAGTTCTCCTACAGATCGTAATCCACGTTGACAATCATGTGAATCTCTCTAAAACCCCAAAGTGTAGCCGGAGCCACTGAGTGATGGTGGTTCCTCCTAGTGAGAAGCAAGGTCTTAGCAGGTCCTGTGAGGACGAGGAGGCAGCGCCGCAGTTTGTAGATGCTGCATGAGGTCATGCCACAGGCGCACACTGAGGAAGCTGAGGAGGGACACCGAACGCACTGGTGTGTGTGTGTGTGTGTGTGTGTCTGACAGGGAGCAGAATGGAAACTGTTTCTCTGCCACTTACGACTGCAGGCATTTCAGATGTTTTTGTTAGCTTCGGCCTGTACCTGCAGCTCTCCTTCTCATCTCTCCACCCCGGCACCGTGAGACTGGCTTTGGGGAGTTTCACGCATTGACCCAGCCGTGCAAAATTCAGCCAGCAGGGTCAGCCTCGCTAAAGGCAGATGAGGCAGCCACTCAGGGCCGGCCTCACTAAAGGCAGATGAGGCAGCCGCTCAGGGCCTGCAAATTGCTTGGATTGCGGTGGAAGTGAAATTATTGTTTATTTTCCTTGTAGCCATCCCCCCCAAGTAATGTTTTGCCTAGGGGCCCTGAAAAGGTAGAGCAGGCCCAACCTACAGTTGAAATAGGATATATAATAACCTTATTGTCATTATGCATCAGCACAGTGAAATTGTAAAACAATGACGACTGAAATGAAAAATAAAAAACACAAAATTAAGTAAAACAGATACTTCCATATAAAATGCAGACTATGGAGAAAGCGGTTACTATAGACAGAGTGGCATTATACACAATGTGAAGTAATTACTGTACCCACCAAAAGGGCTCCAAGGCCAACCGTTAAACCGGCAACGGGGTCCTGGGTGCCCAAGGCTCACTGATGTAGCCCGGAGCTGAGGATAGCCCGTCTGGTCCAATCCCACAGGCTGTGAGAGAAAGGTATCAGAACACACCATGTATCACAGCTTGTGTATCGGGCTGCGTAGCGTCAGACCAGTCAGAGTGCCCACTGACCCCTGACCACCGGCCAAAGCACCTACAATGGGCATGTGAGTGTCAGGACTGGGCCATGGAGCAATGGAAGAAGGTGGCCTGGTCTGATGAGTCACTTTTTATGTTACATCATGTGGACGACCGGGTGTGTGTGTGTTGTTTACCTGGGGAAGAGGTGGCACCAGGATGCTCTATGGTAAGAAGGCAAGCCGGCAGAGGCAGTGTGATGCTCTGGTCAATGATCTGCTGGGAAACCTTGGGTCCTGGCATTCATGTGGATGTTACTCTGACACAGACCACTTACCTAAACATTGTTGCAGACCAAGTAAACACTGCAGACAGTCGTGCGCTTGGAAGGCTGTGTTCATGCTACATTTGGCCACGGACACAGATGGTCTCGGTCGGTGCATGCATACAGCAGTGATACTCCACCAGACCAGCAGAGGGCAGATGTATTGCAACAAACACAAATACAAGCATAGCAGTGAAACGGGTAAACTTTTTATGAACAGTTTTAAAGTTGTTTGTACAGGCTTGGGAGGTATTAAAGTAATACGACATACCAGTTAGCTGGGACCCTCCACCACTCTTCAGTGAATTTTATCGCAAAAAAATTTAAATGCCTGAATCGCTTTGTGTCGCTTTTGAAAATACCGTGTACTTCAGTATAATGTCTGGACAGGATGAAAAATTAGATATGTGAGTACCTCTGCACCACCTCATACAGCTGCTCACTGTAACTACTATTACAAAAACTATTCTTTCTCTACTCTTTCTTGGTTGTCCTCTGCTCTGTGAAAGTCAGTGCTGCCACCTACTGGAAGTACCTAATTAATGATCATGCACATGCGTAGTCAATGTGCACAGAGGTGCGTAATCTCTGCCGGACAAAAAAATCAGGGCTACACGAGTGACGTCCGCAGTCGTCTGGCACAATCCCCAGATGAGGAAGTGTAAATCACCCTGTGTACAAATCAAAGTGTGCGCGGGAAAATTAAATATGAAATGGCCTTAATGTACCTTTCCACACTGCAGAAATTGTTCAGTGATGATTTGAGTAACGTGAGAAAGGTGTTGACTTGGCCTCCAGATTCCCCAGATTTCAATCCCATCCAGCATCTGTGGGATGTGCTGGACAAACAAGTTCAATCCATGGAGGCTCCGCCTCACAACTTAGATAATTAAAGGATCTGCTGTTAACGTCTTGGTGCCAGATACCACAGGACACCTTCAGAGCTCCCGTGGAGTCCATGCCTTAACGTGTCAGAGCTGTTTGGTGACTCGAGGGGGACCTACACAATATTAGGCAAGTGGTGTTAATGTTGTGGCTGATCGGTGTAAACAGGAAGTGGGACTTTGTCTCAGTTTACTGTGGATGACAAAAGGGTGTTTTTTTTTGGTCCTCTTTCAATTATATGTTAGGGTTATATAGGTATTGTCTTTGGTAGTGGTAGTGTATTTTGGAATACAGAGCTTGTTGAAAACAATCCATTTGGTTTCAATAATCTCTGCAGTAACCCTGAGCCCATTGTGGGGGCTTAAGATACGAAGCAGTTCGTACTCTAGACGGGGAACAGTCTGTCACAGAACACACATACATTTATAGCTTAGCTCACACACAAAGGATAATTTAGAGACATCAGGCCCTGAGTTTTTGGGCTGCACGAGGACGCCGAAAATGTCCAATCAGCTCGAGCGGGTAAGTAACATGGAACTTGGCCCAAAATTCGAACCAGCAACCGTGGGGATGCAAGGCTAAAGCGGGTCCTTTTACACCCAAGACAGAAACTTGATGGCCAAATGTATGCTACACCAGTAGAACATGATGAGAGGAGAGCAGGCTGTACTCTGCGAAGCTGATGTTACTCCAGTGCACAGTGAATAAATTCCAGTTTGATATCCTTGCACCATTTCCAGCTCCTTCTGCAGAGGGCCATGTCAGCGAAAGGACTGACTGGAGTTTGTCGCTTGTTTATATTGGCTGCTTTTGCCAAGTGCTGAGGGCTTTTGTGCATGTAACCTATTCCAGGAGAACTTAAGGTTCAAGTGTTTCGCGGTCTTGGGCACGGACCTGCTTTATCTCCAGTTGCTAAGCAACGACGGCACCCTTTCATCCTTCAGGGAATAATGATGGTGTTGGGAAACATTACTCATTATTGTAAATCGCTTATTTATCCGTTGAAAATGTGGTATTTACTCGCTGAATGTGAGAACCATGAACAGTGAGTAGATGCCAGTAATGCACAGCCCATTCTTTCGTAAGCTGAGAAAATTACAGCGAGCAAATCAACTGAAAAGGGGCAAACATTAGGAGAGATCATTACAGTGAAAAATGACTGAGTAAAATAGTGCGGCCATGCAACGGAGTATGAAAACACGACGGTTTTGCGTTTTATTTAAAACTGTTGAAAATGTGCAGTAAGGAAAATGGGTTTTGTTTTGGCACCATAACAAAGACGCGCTTTGGGGACTCGAGAAGGAGCCAAGCGCTGCCAGTAGGAACTGAGGGCGGCCGCGGTGCCTAGCATGCCAATCTGCGGGATGGGATCTCTGCACGCCTTCGGTACCAGACATATTGAAAATGCAAAGGCAAAACCGGGCCGGTGGGGCCGGTTCAGTGTGTGTGTGGAGCAGACAGCTCATTTATTACCGTGATTAAAATGCGGGAGCTGAGCTCGGCGCAGACAGTCCGAGTGCATTAACATCGAGCGCGTCCGATCACGCAGGCATGTATTAAAGGTTATTTAAGTTAGGGCGATCTGTAGCGGATAAACCCTCTTATTCACCCGCATCCCCAGGGATAAAGCGAATGCAAGCCCAGCTCGGGTCTAAAGAAAATGAGAAAAGCAGCCTCCACCGGAGCCCCAATACCTAAGGCATGTCACAGACGACTGAATAATTACGTCGTCGCTAATGCCTCTTGGTTCATCACAGTCAGGGCCGGCATCATGCAAAATAGAGGAGAGGGCATGATTCATTAGGGCGATGAATTAAGCGCTGCTCTTTTTACATACGTGCTCTTAATTATGGAAATCGGCTGTTGTCTCCCAGACGCAGCGTTGCGCTTTGCTGTTAATCACTGATGAGACCCAAACATAAGCTGTACTGGTGATTACCAGCTTTCCTCTCATTTCCTGGCAAATGAATATGATTATTGGATCCTTTACTCAGCAAAATAAAACATTACAGGCATAACGGGGGCGCTTAATTAAGAAATGAAATCGAACGCTACAGACAGGGAAAGTGGGTCCCGCTCCAAACATCATCAGTTCTCGATGTTTGTCTGAAAATGAGTCATTTTAACAACCTCCTGTTTACGCCAAAGGTGCACTCGATTTATAAATAAAAAAAACTTTTTTTTTGTTATAAAACAATTCCTGCGCACCTGGCACCAGGCCTATTTGTGCTGAATATTTCACTGAAGATGTTTTTGATTTTTCTCTAAATATGTTGTGTTTTGCTGATATATTTTATCGAATGTTTTCTTTTGCTTGATTTAACCCATAGGTCCTGGCACTGCATGTCATGAATGCCGATCCCTCTACCAAGTGTCCGATAAACGTTAACTACCCATAAAGCGGTTAGTTTAAGTTCTCTCTGACTGATCGTACATGTTCCCCCAGACAGGACTGCGTGGAGATCTACCCCCTCTTCCTGGTTGTGTTGTGGATCTCTGGAAGCTTCTTCCATGAAGGTAACTACCTGGCATAGTTAAGGGCAAGAGCAGCCTCAAACATATAAAGGACATGGACGCAAATAGCGATTCATTGTGCCACAAACCAAAAAATTCTCCCTCCCCTGTAAGGACCCTCTCCTCATTAACAAGTCATGATGTTACGTATTAATTATTTTTGAGCATACATTCTATATTTCCAATGCACTGCACAGCATGGAGCAGGCAGTGAAGAACTGATACCACTATCGAATATCGCATCAAAATTAACCCGAATCTAACATCCTTTTTATACCTTTGTTTCCCAAACCTAACAGTCCCATTCCTGTTGTACTGCAATTCATGATTGTGGCAGTTGCCTAGGTGACACTTGTATTAGTACAATGACACAGGGTCACCACACGTCTGCGTTTCCCTGGACACGCCTCTTTTTGGGCCCCCGTCCGGGCGGCTTTTCAAAAATCTGAGGTTTGTCTGGGTTTAGCGCTGCAACCCATATGATCCAGTGTTGCGAGTTACACTGAAGTACCAAGTGAAGGACCAAGGCACCGATTTTCAATATACAGCAGCCACTCAGTAACACCACATGGCGTTTGCTTAAAAAATTGAATGATGTACGTATCCCTACGTGTCGCGCTGCTCACGAGTGACATCAGCTCTGGGACGTTTCCGGGAGTGGCATCAGCTCCTGGGAAGTTTCCGGGAGTGACATCAGCTCCTGGGAAGTTTCCGGGAGTGACATCAGCTCCTGGGAAGTTTCCGGGAGTGACATCGCTTAAACACTTTATATTTGAGACATTTTGTGAGCGACAGAGCGTCCCCCTTTTTCGTCTCACCAAATATGGTGACCCTACAATGACAGATTATCATTTAAATACTGCAAATTCAGGGCCGGATTAAGGAGGGGGGGGGGGATCTGGATCTGGGATAGAGAGAATTTTTGGGCCCAAACTACCTAGCATATTTTGAAGTATAGAAAATATTAAGTGGTTATGCATATCAGCTTCAAGGGTAGAGTCAACCAGAGTAAAGAAAATGGCAACTAGCTTTAAAAATAAAAGCTTTTAGCTTTAAAATGAATGACTAAAACCTGCACAGAAAAAATATAGGCCTACTAACTGAAATTAGGAGAGACAAAGTATACTGTATCACAGCCTATATCTTTAATTAGCTGCTCGGACCACAAGCGGCCCTAAGATGGCAAACCATTGAAACGCTTAAAACATATGTTTTAAACATGTAGTTTTGAAATGAAATGATAATGAGAGACAAAGGAGAAAAGGTATAACATAATGAGAAGCCAGAATACAGCAACAGGCTTTTTTAAAGCATTATGTCATCTGGCACAGACTATTTCAATGCTGTGCGGCTTACAGAATGACCAGGTACCATCACCAACTGAGTCCTTAAAACACTGAACTATATGATCTTATTGCAAAGGCCTGAGCAAGCAGGACCATCAAATACTGCATAGGTCACACTGCATACGAACCCATATATACATGGAACTTTCAGGAAACATTCTTACATACCTATGGTATTTATATACAGCTGTGGAAAAAATTAAGAGACCACAGCAAGATTTTCAGTTTCTCTCATTTCTCAAGTCATGGCTATGCACCTGTGTATGCACTCCAGTCAGGCTCTTCCCTGTTTCTTATTAATGAAGAGCTTCTTCCATGTTTTATGGGACTTCAGTCCTGCTTCCAGGAGCCTGTTATGAACTGTCACAGCAGTGCACTTCACACCTGCACTTAATGTCTCCCATTCTTTTTGAAGGTCACTTGAGGTCATCCTCCTATTTATGAGGCACTGCTGGATACGTTGATGGTCATCTCTGGCATTAGAAAGTTGCTTCTGCCCCTCTAACTGGCTGCCTTTTGGTCGTTCCCAGTGTCTCCTGCTTCACCTTATCCTTGTGTACTGCTGTCTTAGAAACTTTGAGCCAGGAAGTAGCCTTCCGCTGGCAGAACCAAGATTAAACCAGGATTTAACAATGCAGATTCTTAAAAAATAATACTTTTTTCCCCAGAGCTATATATGGAATATATATATCAAGCCACAAAGAAAAGTAACCGTGTAAACCTGTAACACATCTTGTTCTGAACACTAAGCACAGTTTCTAAACAAAATTAACTTTTTATAATGCCTGCTAGGCAAAATATGCCTTTTATATGTATAGCAAAGCATCCACCTCTCAAAATATGCTGACGTCGGCGTTTGTGCAATCGTAATGGTCCAGTGATCAAAATCTATCACCGTACTTGGTCCACAAAACAAGCTAAATTGGGAAAATATTACAGAAACTCCCAGTAGATAATGGCCCATTCGCACCTTGCAGTTCAGGGATGTAGTGGGATCGGGAGCAACACGAATAAAAAGAAAAGAGGTCAAAGTTAATCTAACATTTTTAATGTATTTCAGTGACGTTCTAAGTAATTGTGACTGAGGGAGATGAAATAAAGGGGGAAAGCCGTTTGAGTGCCGTTTACAAACGCAGCACTTGAGAAGCGTAGATAATAAACAGAGATGCTTTACCCATTTATCACGTTTGGGTTGGTAACGACCAGATACTTTTTTGGCAAATAAATGACCGTAAAACAATGATGAAGATATCTACTGACAACACTGAAGGACCCCCTCCCCCTTGCACAGCCTAATTCTAACCTTCTCACTGGAAAACATTAAAACCAGTTAAATAATAAGCAGGTGTGAAAGATGTATATGTAAGTTTTAATCAACCAAGCCGTTTGCAGAGCAGCAAAGAAGATAAAATATTTGCATACAAAAAAATGACCGTGATTATTTTGGGGGCCCCTGCCCCAGTAAGCCCGTCTAAATCCCAGGTACACGAAGGTTACGTACTGCTAACTCTTCTGAGGACATTCTGGTCAATGAAGACCTCGGAAAGAGCATCCAAAGTCTCACACCAAAGCTCGTTTTTGATCTTCAGTAAAAATGCTCCTCACCTTCACCAAATGCTTTGTCATCCGCTTTCTTTCAGCACTGGCAGCTGTTGGTGGTCTGCTGTTCATTTTTTCCCGCCAAATGTATTTTAACGGTTACGTCAACTCTACGAAGAGCAGGTAAAACCATGACGCACTGCACCAGAGAACAGTGATGAATGAGTCCTGCTGAAAGTGCAGCGTGTGCCTCTGCCTGCAGATTACCGGGGTTTTATCTGTCCCTGGGGGCTCTCGTCTTGCTGACAGCGACCGGGGCCGCCGGCCTTCTGCGTCAGTTTCTTGACGACTACCTTGACGTCAACATGCACAAGGTTTTCAAGAGTTAGCGAGTTTGCCTGAAGACACATTGTCGCTTCGTCCAGGTAACACAGCTGTGGCTTTCGGCCAAAAACAAATACACTTGTTTGAAATGTTAAAACTGTATTAGGTATCGCTTTACATTAACTGCACCTTCATAATGCATCCATAAAACGTTCATAAGCAGCATGTAAGTACGCCTTAACATACTAACATACCCTAACAGCGTTAATGTACATTAATAACAAACATTATACAATTATAATGTTTGTTATTAATGTATATTAAAACTGCTAAGGTATGTTACGATGTTAAGGTGTACTTACATGCTGCTTATGAACGTTCTATGACTGCATAATGAATGCATTATGAAGGTGCAGCTGAAGCATTACGTCATACCATAAGGCCAATACAGCCATACCTTGCACTTTGGGAATGGCATATTTGCAATGTCTGTACAAAAGATTAGGAGTGGTATGGTTCCTGACTGGTTTTACATCAAACCTGTTTCAATCAGTGTAGGTGAAGGAGAGGTGATGAGGTAAACAAAGATTTTCCGGGCTTGAGACATGGACTGTTTATCTGATAGAAGATGGGAATTTAATGACCTTTGAATGGGGTGTGATAGTAGATTCCAGGCAACACAGCTGTGTTTTTCAAACTGAAAGGTGTTCAGTCTACGTCCGTGATGATCTGGAATCGGCACGGGCGAGGGTCACTGTGGAAGACCTTCCAAACCTCATTCAGCCCATGACCTGAGGGATGCACGATAGCAAATGGAGATTTGACGGAATATTAGGGCTGCATCTCTGATGCTTTGTACGCTCAGTCTACGCAACATCTAAATAGAATCAAATATCGAAATCAAAATACTCAGTACTTTGTCAGTTCTCTGGCTGCAGAAGGAACAAACAATGACAAAAAATAAAAAATAAAAAATCACGGCTACAAATGCTACAAATTGTTGTGTTTCGATAGCTTCCTTTAACGCATGTCACAAACTGAGATTTTGGTGTGCGCTCCCTGGTGAGAAAGTCGACTGGTGATGTCTGGCACTTCTTGATCGATTCCTTTTGTCTGATTATATGCGACTTGTTTATATTTTTATTACTCCCCCCCCCCCAGACAAAAAATATATAAATAGTAAATTCCTTCAATGTAATTGGCAGCATTCTATTTTTAGTTGAAAAAAATTGTGTAGGATTATAGACAAACAACCTTGTCCTACAGTCTCATGCAATCTCACAATCCCCTAAGCAAAGAACCAGAAAAATGTCTGCGTATAAGAGTTCATTTAATACAATAAGAGAACATTCTCCTTTATTTTTACTTTTTCTGCAAAAAAAGTTATAATTCTCTCGAATTGACATTTCATAATTCTATACAAGATAAAGAAATCAGCCCCGCTTAAGGTTACAGAGTGAAATCTTACAACTAGAAAAAAAATAGAATAGGTTTACAGTACAAATTAGTAGTAAGACATTGTCTGAAGTGCAATGCTGTAGCTCAGATGAGTTTAATCGTGAGGTTAAAAGAAAGAAAAAAAGTAAAATTTTAAAGAAATAGCAATTTCTTTAAATGTTGTTGCCAGTTATCTGATGTTTTAGCCTGTAAAAACATATTTACAAATAACTTTAATCTTTTATATATAATTTCTTTAACATCACATGTACTTCAGCACCAATACAAAAAGACCGAGGGAGAGAAAAATGGAAAAAATAACAGTGTCTCTTTTTCTTGGTCCCAGATCCATAACTTTTGGGGGAAGCTTAAAGCGAACTTTTCTTCAAGTACTGAGCTGCAAGTCGGTTTCCTGCAACGCTACCAGATGCTGAAGTGGTTTTTTTTTCTCCTTTTATTTTTCTTTCAATTTTTTCTTTTTTTAAAATTTCATCTGTAGCTCTCCCACACATGAAACAGTGATGGAAATATTTCCAGAACAAGAGATGTCCAGCCCAGGAGGGAATGGAGCATATACTCGGGTATGCAGAGGCACAAACAGGTTAAAATTAAATAACAAATATCAGACTTCTGCTCTTTGGGAGGGGAGGGGGAAAAAAAATCACTGCTCCAACAAACAAAATCTGTCTTGTGACAACAAAATAAATATAAAAGTTGGTCTTGACACTGATTTTCAGGTACAATGAACAAAGACTGCTCACAATGATGTAACTGTATAAATAGACATTAAATTGTCAATAATGTATTAAAAAATTTTATATATGAAGGCCCACATGGTCAGTGAAGGCTTTATTCTATATAAGTTGAGCTTCTAAACTTCATTTTACATTTGATTTTTTTTTCCCAGAAAGCTATACCATTTTGACTCTGTCATACGGCTGTATTTTAATTTTTATTTTTTTTATCTGTGGGGTGATTCTGATCGGGATCCTGGCTTGAGCTTCCTGTAGCAGGTTGTGAGTCTATGTCCTTAAACCTTACACACACACATATAAAGTCTCACACACAGTGATGCATGATGGGAAATTTAGAGATGCCAACTACCCAAACCCAGATAAGGGGAGAATATGCCAACACCACAAAAATATGTAAGTGGGACTCGAACCCACAACCTTGGAGGTGTGAGGCTACCCACTGAGCCACTGTGCCACCCAGGTATCAAAACCATAGATGTAATCCATAGCGTTGTACAGCGTACAGAATTGACCTATTTATCTGTACTTTTTTGGAGAGGGTGAAGGACAAAGGATAAACGGTGGAGAATAAGCACAGCTGTAGCAGCCTGAATGGGCATCCCTGGGGTGATGTAGCCAGTATCTCTGTGGCTTAACAGAGCGCCAGGCTGGAAGACAACAAGGTGACTGTTAGCCGGAACAACGCCACGACAGTGTGCGCCATTGTGGCGGGGGAGGGGCCTTAAAAACTGGGGCGTCGGCGCTCCGGTCCGCCTTTTCACGGCGGGAGGACAAGGACAGCATTCACGCACTGGGAGGAGCCAGAGCAGTCTGGAGTTCTTAAAGAAAACGGACAGACAGGACGCGAAAGGTCGCTAATGTTTATATGGCCGCCGTTACACACCAGCATGGTCATTGTTGTTGCTGTCGTCGTCGTGGTCGTCGTCGTCGTCGTCGTCGTCGCGCGGCTCACAATAAGCAAGCGGGCCGAGTTTTATCAATTGTGAGATTCTGTGTAGAGAAATGGTGGTGGGGGGTTTTATGAGGGATTTATCGAGAGTGTGGCGAGGAGGTGCCAGTTCACGCCTTCTCATGAAGTGAAACGAAAGCCATTCCTGCAAACAAACGCAAACACGGAAGTCGTTTATCAGTCGGGGGGAGAGAGATCGCAAATGTGAGGGGTTATCTGAAGACTCACGTCTCAAGAACTATTTAGGCTTTTAAGGATAATGCAAAATCTTTAATTTTATAATAAAAAAAAGACAAAGTCACTTGTGGTGGCTTATACATTCATCACCTACCATTTAAAACGTTACACTTTAAATATAAAGCTCTGTGATCACCCTCCCATAGCTGCCACTTAACCTTTGTTTATTCCACTCCAGCCCCGGTGCATTATGGGTAGCCGCCAGGTCCCTCACAGTAGGATGTACATGGAAACTCAGCCGAAGGCAATGCCTCATGCCGGTTGCCTAGCAACAGCCCACACTGACAGGGGCGTGCTCCAGTTCCTCACAAAGAGACGAGATCGCTCCGTGGCCGTTTTCACAGTATAAACTTAACACAAGCCACTTACAAAACGACTGAATTAAAAAAAAATGAATGAATGACAACAGTATTTTCTATCGCTCCCTCAGAGAGACCATTAAATCCATCTGTGATAATTCAAATTTGTTTACAGACACGTTATTTTGATGGCACAAAGACTTTTAGGTGTCATACCAAAAAAAAATAAAAATAAAAACAAATATAAAACAATCATAAAAGCAGAATGAATATACTCCCCCAGTGTTCTTTAAAATCTCCACTCTCACCTTTTCTAGGTCCTGGAAGTAATATAAGCAGTGTCTCTTAAAATATATAATTTTTCTTTAAATCCATTTAAGGAAGATACAGAGCTAAGAATTTTGAGGGATCGATTCAACTTTTTATGAAAAGGAAAAGATTTGCCATTATAAAAAATGGAAATAAAATCTCTTGCTCTCTTCGGACTATTCAGCTCCAGAACAATGACAAAATTGACCCAGTTCGCCTCGGAAAAAGGTCCTTTCCCCAATGCCTGCACTGCATACACAAGAGACCCGTTTCCTCCCCCAAAACCATAACATTTTCCAAAAACAAAACATATTGCCTTGTCTTTTTCTTTTTAAATCCCCTTTACGTTCAACTGCTACCATTGCCGTGAAAGGTGTCCCTTCATTATGGGCTAGGAGAAAAACTCATCCATCCAGCCGTCCGTAGAGTCCAAGTCTGCGCTGTCCGTCAGGTTGAAGGGGCCGGTGCCGGAGGGCTGACCGCCATACGGGCCGTACGATAAGTCCTGACTGGGCGTCTGCTGGTAGCTCTGCTGCTGGCCGCCTTGCACGTAGGAGCCAGCAGAGGGCGCCATAGGCTGCCCGCCGCCCTGGCTGAAAGTAGTCATGTTGGGGATGGCCTGAGCCACCCCTGGCATTACCATGGGCCGCGGCTGATTGGTCCTCACCTGGCCCGCCATCTGGGGCATCATCTGCCCGCCCATGGCCGGGTTCATGGCCCGGGGGTCTACCACGGGCTGCGGAAAGTGCTGCTTGGGCATGCGCGGCTGCCCCGGCTGCATGGCGTACGGCGTGCCGCTGCTGAAGGCCACCATCTCCCCACTAGTCCGGCCGCCCATAGCCTGCAGCTTCTGCTGCTGCTGCCAGTTGTGGGCGCCCTGATTTCCCCCTCCCATCATGCTTTGCAGTCTCTGCGCCTGGGCCTTGGCGACGGGCGGGGTGACCGAGGGCCCCTTCAAGGGCTGCTGGGACATGGCGGGGTTCATCAGCATGCCCTGTCCATAGCCGCCCCCCAGGGCCGTCCCCGGAGCCCCGCCTCCTGCCTGTCTCTGCGCGGGGGCCGGATTGTGGGCTACGCCCATCGCGCTTTGGTTTGGATGCTGCAACATTTGGTTCATGCCGGGGTTCAGGCTGTACATGCCCTGTTGGCCGCCAGGCTGGGTGTTGTAGGCCATGTTGAGGTCGGAGGAGGGGGCGCCCCCTGCTGGTGGAACGGGCATGGAGCCGGACATCTGCACCGGGGGCATCTGGAGCATGCCCTGACCCTGCTGCTGCTGCTGCTGTTGCTGCTGCTGCTGCATCAGCTGGGCGTTCCGCATGGACGCCAGGGCCTGGTTCCTCGCCGCCATTTCCTGCGGCGTCCCTGCGAACGCATGCGGGAAGCAGGAAGTGAGACGCAGGAGGTCACGTGACACCTCTCAGGGAATGAACTCCCCCCCCCCTCCCCCTGTTTTTCTCTGCTCATTTGCAACTCATTACATGCGAGATCTTGGCAGGCTGACTTGCATGGCAGCCAAATTAGAAGAACACGCTGGCCGGCTGGATCCAGCCACCTCATTGTTTCCGCGGTTTGTTCAGAAACATAAAGCTTCCTGCCCCAGTGACTCTAAGCAGGGAGAGCTCCTTTAAACGGCTACTACACATCAGGCCAGGCTGCCAGACACGAAGCCGGGGGAGTTCCATGCCATCGTTGCTTCGAAATCCTGGCCCCAGTTTCAGAAGAATTCTGCACGTAACCTTTGCCTATTCCCTCATGCTTTCTAGAAAGACACAGAAGAGGCCCTAGTTGACCGAATCTGATCTGGGGACGGATTTCCTTACTTATGAAAAGAGGTTCACAAGGCAATGAAGATGCGACAAAGGCGGCCACCCCTTACTTCAGAGGGCCGATATCCAAGCTTATTAGTCTCTTCTGGGGAACAAATCGATGACCCCAGTAAAAAAAAAAAAAGGGGGAAAAAAAACATGGGGAGCTCCTCCCCCCCATTAGCCGAGTAAAGCTCAATTTCTCAGCGATTGGTGTCGACTCGACGGAACGCGCCAGAGGCCGGGGGCAGGTTGTCATGGCAACAGGCGCCGACCAAAAGTGATAAATTTCAGGCGGCCACATCAGCTCCTGGTAACCGTGCAGAAATGCTATCGATAGGCTCCGTCAGGATGGCGTCAATATGATCTAAATGCAGCTGGCTGCTGATGGCCCGAACCAAAGCAGGACCCCACCCCCCCGTCCCCCACAGATTGGATCTAAATATGGTTTCCATGGAAACGTGACAAGATAATCAATAGAGAGGCATATTTCGCCCTCCAGAGGGGCGGAACGAGAGATGAAAGGTGTCCCAGATGGGCCAGTGATAATTATCAGTGTCATGGACTCTCTTGATTTGCTGTGAAGTAAACAGGCATGTGCTTGGGGGGGGGGGGGGGGGGGGGCGGCTAAATCCCCAGGAAAAAAAACACACGGGCTGCTCAGAGACATAATAAACTGTAGCTGCCCCCCAGCCTGGACCAGCGCTCTCAGAAACATTTCACACTTGCTGAGATGCTCCACTAAAGACGCAGCGACTTTCCCAACCTCTTCACTTCGTCTTAAAATCAGGCAGAGAGAAGAGCTGCAGATAACACAAGTCGCTAATTACGTTAATTTACGGCTAAGGTAATTACAGCGATTACGATGCCTTCTCACAGAGCCCATCACGGAAATTTAAGGAGGCTTCCGGATCTTTTCGGTGGTTCTTTGAGGAATAGGAGGAGGGTTTCGGACCTGTGCTCCATCTGCCCCGGTGCCGACAGCTGGACCAGCCTCGTGACAAAGTGGGCGACAGGGATCCAAACGCAGGGGTGGATAGTTTAGGTCCACAAAGTAAAAATCCTGACCGAGATTTTGTTTCTACCAACCAGTCGAGTATGAGGAGTCACAGTCACAGAGACCTCGGAGAACTTAATCGGTTGGTTGAAACGAAATCTTGGTCTGAATTTTACTTGGCAGACCTTCATGAAATGGGGGTGTGTGGCTGAGCAGAGCATCTTACCCTGGAACTGCTGCACGGGGTACGGATGTCTCTGCGGCTGGGACATCGGTCTGGGGAGGTGCTGCTGCTGCTGCTGCATCTGAGTGGGGGGGGGGGGCAGCTTTGCATGAGAGGCAGGAGGAACACTACGCGCTAGGCTAAAGGAGGAAAGGTTAGGAAGGACCTCCTTCAGTGAGGCTGAGGGACACACTGAGAGCTGCAAAGGCTGGCATGTGACTGTGTATGTGATGAGTAGGAAACAACATTTACAAAACATCTTTGGAGATTCAGCACGCCGGCAACCATGCTACCATCCAGGCCCCCCCCCTCCCCCCGAAACGCAGAGGATGTGGGAGGGGTGTCACCAAGCTGAAATTTCATGTCGGTGTTGTAGAGTAACGTGAAGGGATAATTTAGGAGGAGTAACACACTCGGAATCCATTAACTCGACGCTTAAACCCTACACAGCCTGATTAACTAAACTCACGAGACACCAGACTTAAAACGTGACGTCTGCCTTCAGGCAGACGGACTGCCCATGGTGGCCAGTTTCCCGTGTGGCAGAGGTGGAAATTTCAGGTCCAGAAAGTACGAATCCTGACCAGGATTTTGTTTCAACCAACCAGTGGAGTACTTTGTAACTATGACTCTTTATGCTAAACTGGTTGGTTGAAACTAAATCACGGTCTGGATTTGTACGTGCTGGACCTGAAATTTCCACCTCTGCCGTGTGGTGAAATGAGAAGACGTTGTTATTGTGTAAGATCCCAGCTCCCAGGTGGGGGAGGACCACAAGCTTGCTGCAGGGATCAGAGACCTGGATACATCTGCTAACATCTGTGTGGACGCCGGCATGCGGCTCGTCCGCGGCCTACAGTGCTGCGTGAAAGTCTCAGGCAGTCACAGGAAACATTAAATGATCTTCATGTCGGTACGAAACTGCGTCAGCTGAGCCACTTCCAAACGTCTACTAAAGCCAGCCCAGCATCGCAGCGACCGTCCAACACACCAGCGTTTCCGACTCGACCAGTGGCACGCCTTGTTTGACTAATCAATATCTCATCGAGTTATTTAAACAATTAAGTTAATTAATTAAATGAGCTGGTGGTGAAATATAACAAATCCATGGAATGGCTGGGGTGGCCCTGAGGAGAGCTTGGGGAACCACAGCGACGTTCATCTGGCCATCCAACAAGGTACCAGTAACTTTTTGGGGGAGGGAAGGAATTCTTGCTATTTATTGTTTACATGCATATATTCTAATGTTAAATTATGTTTTTTTTCTGAGCAACTACAGACTTACCAGATAAATAGCTTTGGGCTGGTCAATCTTATCCACAAAGGGCCATTGTATGTGCAGGTTTTCCTGCATCTTTCTAATTAAATTATTAATCAGAGGACTGATTGGCTGAAGAGTCCTCACACCTGGGTTTTAACAGCTGACCTACAGGTTATCCCATAATCCTGCACACACACGCCGGCCCTTTGCGGAGACGACTAGCCACCCCTGCCTTAAACATTCCCTTTTTACCACTTAACACTTATGCACAGCACTATAGGTATATGGATGAGGAGCGAGCAGGCATCTCCCCGGACGCCTCATCCAGGACCCCAAGTGTCACCTGCTCCACCAGCAGCTGCTGCTGCTGCCTCTGCTCCCGCAGGATCTGCCGCTTTTGCTGCTCCAGCAGGTGCAGCTGGGTGCGTTTCTCCTGCTCCATCTGCATCTGCTTCATCATGGCCGCCTGCTGCACACTCCCCAGGTAGCTGGGAGCCCCGGGGTTGGCGCCGGGGCCCGGGGCCACGCCTCCGGGGCCCGGCATGGACTGCTGAGTGCCGCCGGGCTGCCGGGGAATGCCCACACCCAGGGTCTGCTCCTGCGAGAGAAGGAGAACGTTTAGGAGGTGGTTGCTCTCCTCAGCTTAGCAAGCCTGGGTATGGAGCCCACAGCATACTGGTAAAACCCAAAGTATTCAGAGGGGCTGCCAGCCAGGGCTAGTTCTCTTAGAAATATAATGACAGAGATAAAATTGCATAACATTTACATTATTTATTTAGAAGATGCTTTAATCCAAAGCGACATACACTTTTCTGAGAGAAAGATGGGGTAGACGGATCCTAAAGCAATTAGGAGATAAGACACTTGGTCAGGGGCCCTGACAGTGAAATCACTCTGTCGACCCTGGGATTCGAACTGACGACCTTCCGATCACAGACACAGTGCCCTAATCTACTGATAACATGCCACGGGAGTCAAGCGAACATAGAGCACAGCTGTCTTCCCGTGATTGTTACATCTTGTAAACGTTTGCTGCTGAGAGCCGTGTCCCAATACAGATAAACACAGAAGGACTCTTCGAAGTCCACTTAACACACGCCGCATGGTGTAGGACTCAAACCCCTGCTGGTTCAGCTGCTGTGGTACCTGGCCACACCCTCTGGCAGATCAGGGCTCGAGACCCAAAGCGAGTTTTACAGCTTCTAAAGAGGAAGGCAGGAGTGTCTGGCCAAATCACCAAAGGCTTCTTAAAGGGATGTGAGACCAAGAGGCTCTTAAAGGGAGGTGTACCTGGAACTTATTCTCAGATCACCTAAAGAACATGCTTCTGCTGCTTTCATTACCATTGTCTTTGTTGTTCACCTTGAGCTATTTGATCAGTGACATGTGACACTGTGCAAAGGCTAAACATATTGAGCGTATGTCCATTATTGTTTCCCGCAGTTAGTGGTGGGCGATGCAACAATAATAAATGGTTTCAGAGTTATTGCAAGAATCACGACAGAACTCTACTTAACATTATTATCACAATGATAGAACAAACCAGCAAGAGTCTATCACACAAAGCCTGCATGTGCAGAGGTGCAACAATACAACAACAAAAACAGACTGATGTGATGTGAAGCAAATTCAGCCGGATATCATATCCCAGCACTGTTTGTATATCTCACTCCCGCCTGTGCGCCTCACTCCTGCCTGTATGCCTCACTCCCGCCTGTGCGCCTCACTCCCGCCTGTGCGCCTCATTCCCGCCTGTGCGCCTCACTCCCGCCTGTGCGCCTCACTCCCGCCTGTGCGCCTCACTCCCGCCTGGATGCCTTACTTCTTTGCCAATTTTCTGACCCAGGAGATCCACTTCTTAGTAACTAGATCTTGAATTAAAAACTTAATTCATCTGTTCCAACCAGCTAGCTTGGTAACTTGGTAAAAAAAAAAAAAGACAAACTTATATACATGATTTGACTGTTAAGAATATTGCACTCTGTCACACAGTAAACAACACATGGTCTGTAGAGGGGTCGACCACACTGCTGAATCAGAGTGTGCAGCATAGCTGATGAGGAAGAACCGGTTCCAAAAAAGGTTACACGTGTTTGCACATCTCAAAATATGACATTTATTATTTAATTTCTTTATGCATCTATTGTTTGTATTTGTTGCAGATTGAATTCAGAAGTGCAGTTATTTGCCAAAGTAACGAACATTCATTTGTTCTCAACTTTAGTATTAAAATAATATCCTACATACCTTTAAAATTAAGCTTATGAATATAATGCTACAATCAGCGTTTCATCTAAGGACAGAATTGCTGCTTCAGTAGTTAAATGGTTAAACATTACTATACTGTATACTCTCCAATTTTGTTGGTTTGGAAACATAAAAAAAAAAATCAATATCTATATCTTGGTTTGTAATTCTAACTAAAAAAAATCACATGAACATGATATGACATTTCTGTCATATCACCCACCTCCACCTGTTCTGTGCAACACTGACCATCCATCCATCCATCCATCCATCCATCAGTCTTTGCTTCTAAGCTTTGTGTTTAATGTACTTATTTGCGCTGACATGGATGTTTGCTTAATAAATAAATGTAAATACATAACAGTTGAATTTATGTATCTTTTAATCAATAACCTATTTAGTAAATAATTAAGCAGCTACTTAGAAATTATACACAATATCATAGTGGCTTATTCTACCAATCATACATAAGTAATGATGCAATTTTACTTATGAATATAAATATCTGGGAGTTATAAAGAAACACAGAAATAAACACAAAGGTGGCAATACTGTGTACTATAATAAAAGGTGGGAATACAATATACCATAACAACAGGTGGGAATACTGGGAATACAGTATACTGTAATAAAGGTGGGAATACAGTATACTATAACAACAGGTGGGAATACTGGGAATACAGTATACTGTAATAGGAGAGAATAGAGTATATTATAATAAAAGGTGGGAATATAGTAGACTATAATAAAAATGTGGGACATTTACCATAATATACCATAACAAAATGACCCTGGCACAATACCATTCTTGTACAGTTGCTGTATGCCCAGAACACAACTACAGGACACCATTTACTCAGGCCACACCCCAGCAGACACACTTGTGGTATAGATTATTATACTGTTCATGTAGTAATCCAACTTTACCTGACCAGATGCGTAACTATTAATATCACCGGCACGCCATGCGCCTTGTAAGCGGAGCCTGCATGTCCGTTATAGCCGAACAAAACTACAGCTAAAAGTGGCCCTGGGGACCAAATTGTTTGTCCGTTATAAGCGAAATTCCATTATATGCGAGTCCGCTATATCCGATGCTTTTTCTGCATGTTCGTTAAGGCGCGCGGCCGGGACCAGCGGACCTCGTCCGTTATAGATGACATTCCGTTATAAGCGAGCCCGCTATAACCGGATTTTACTGTATGACCTAAAAACACGCACAGTTCAAAGATCTGTCCAGCAGAGGCCAGTCTTTGAATACCCCACCCCCACGTATCCTGAAAATGAGGAACTTTTGAAAAACACGACTGACATTAGTCAATGTCTTTATGAGAAACTGTGCTCCTATCAGGACAAGCTAGGCGAGCAATGTGGTAACGAGACAAAGGTCCACACACACAAAGGTCCACACACACAAAGGTCCACACACACAAAGGTCCACACACACAAAACCATCAGATGCTTCGGCAAAAGCAGGTCTAACGCCCGGAGGGGCAGGCGGTCCAGCGGCTGCGTTCGAGCTTTCGGGCCCCCTCCGGTCGGCACAGTGTGCACAGGGTTATCTCCACAGTGCTGTCGACACGGCGCTTTCACAGCAGAGGGGCAAAGGCGGGGGGGTAGGGACTGGGGAACAAAAGCATCCTGACAGCGTCAGCAACCTTGCAGCCCACAGCCCTGCCCTGCGGGATCCAACACGCGGATCATCCTGGAGCGATCAGCACCCGCCTGCCCTCTCCTTAAGCGCGCGCCTTAAAGACCGACCGCTGCCATCATTCCGTTATTTTTCCCCGCTGTGACACTAATACAAAATCAATGAAGCGAGAACGGAGGTCATCATTCTTTCAGCTGCATTTCTAAAATGCAGATTTCACACAACACAGCACAAGAAAAATGCTATTTACAGCAAGATGAACAGTCTAGACGAGACATTCCTTAGCCCGGCGAGCGATTGGTGCCCAGCCTGCAATAGCGGCCATCTCCCAAGGGGTGGCGGTGTTGTTCCGCTCGGCCAGAAGCGGGAAGACTGCTTCATCACGAGCGGCGTAAGGCACTCCTCCCAGATAATGGGTCTGAGCCTCCGAGGTGGAGGATGGCGGTGAGGAGCAGGTAGCCTGGAAGCTGGCAAGCGGAGCCCAGAGCAGATGGCCTCCATGCTGCATGATGGACACCCAGGAAGCTTGGGGGGGAGGGCAAACATTCCCGCTCCAGTCGGAATGAGCTCTTCTCCGTTCACCATTCACCACTCCCTGGATCATGGCGTGTATACACACACACACACACACACATACATACAAACATACATACACATACTACACGCACATGCACACACTACTACCCAGCTATACACATCATCATCATCACCCCCTCCTTGAAAATGTGCTAGCCAGAGTGCTGCAGAAAATGACCAGGTGGCTTCGTATTTAGCGCCCCCTACTGACCCGCTACGCCTAAATCAACCCGCTCCAGTATGGACTGGGGAAGGGACCTAAAGCTGACTAGGCTACCAGTCGATGGCACAGCAGGATCTATGCAGAGGGAGCCGCACTAAGATGATTCCTCTGGGCTGCATTTCAGTCACGTGCCGAGCCGACATGGGACATATGTGGCTCGATGTGCTGAATGACACGGGCTTTGCTCGCACTTCATCTACACCGCATGTCTAACGCAGAGGCTGCTGTGAACTGGATCATGGTGTCGCAGGAAACACGGGTACAAGGCAGGGGACACCTGGACAGGTTGCCGGTCCACCGCGAGTCGCTCGCGCAATGACACAGAGGCACCGCGAGGCGCGCAATGACACAGAG